TATTTTCAATGTAGATGAAACAGCTTTGTATTACAGGCAGCTCCCAGAAAAAACATTGAGTCTGAAAGGAAAGACAGTTTCTGGGTCCAAGAAATCCAAAGAAAGAATCACGTTACTGCTTTGTGGGAGCATGACTGGAGAAAAGTTATCACCGTTGGTGATTGGAAAGTTTCAAACTCCACGATGCCTCCGAGGTGTAGACAGTAAAAGCCTTCCGTGCAATTATAATTCTTCAAGGAACGCATGGATGACTTCCACGTTATTTCACAATCGGCTGTCCGATGTCAACCGCAAAATGGTTTCTCAAAGACGATCTATTTTACTATTTATGNCTTTCCATAACCAAGCCGTTAAGGCATCACTAGTTGAACCTGGTCCGATCAACAACAGTCATGTCGAATGCATCAATCGGTTTGAACATAGACTGGTAACAACGGAAGCGAACGAACGAATAGATGTCCACAGACGTTAATGATACACATTTTTCAATAGAAAATCATGAATAGATTGCACAACGAACAATCAGTTTGAAAATGAGAAGGAAGTCAATTTTCTGAATATACCCCGTAACAGATATTTCATTCATTTTACATGTTATTTCCTTCTCACTGGATTCAAACTGGTTCACCTTTATTTTCCTTGAATCGTTTAAAGATGATGTGATTATCACAGCTACAACAGTTGTATATTATAATGGAAGCCATACAATCAATTCTGTGGTTAGCCTAACGTTGCAACGGAATGGAGGAATATGTGAAATTAATATGAAATAATTGGGTCAGAAAAAGTTCCCCCGAAGAAAGGTAGGTAGATTAGGAATAATTAGACACATGGAATTGAACAAGGGTGAATACCGGCTGCAATATACCGATAAAAGGTTGAGGGTGTCATAAAATATTTAAATTTACATACAGGATACGCAGGACAGTAGATCTAAATTCCGTTATAAATAAACAGTTTATAAGCATAACTATTGGAAACAACTAACGGGATTAACATACTTTTCATCGGTCCTGTTTATTTAGTCACAAAACTGCCAACCGATGTTTATACTACTTATTAGAACCCACTACTGTTTACCCTGCTATGTCGCAGTTCCTGAAATTTACCCACTTTTTCGAATTCCTGAGGGATGCGACATAGCAGGAGATTGACTGTATGTCGATTGTGAAAAGTTCAGTAGCCTCGGATTGGGATTCGAACCCACACATGGACGCCGCCTACGCTTTTTGTACAGCGCACGCAGTCAGTCTACATGCTAACTGGTGGATGCCTCATGCCTCTGTAAGTTGGATGGGTTAATTCGAATGTGAAAAGATCAGTGCTGCTAGGTGAGGCCTCGTAGCTCAGCTGGTAAAGCGTTCGCGTACAAAGCAGAAGTAGAGTTGACAAGTTTCGAATTAAGGACGTGGATATTGACAGCGGCCTCCTGAACTGCTTCATTATCATCACCACCATGAACCGCGATAATCGGCCCATCATCACATTTTTCCCATTCACACACACCCGCGGATCATGGTTACTGTACATCACTCGCACGCGCAGTGATGTGTCCTCGTGTAGTGTTGCACACTTTCTTTCATTTCGGGTGACTGTGATGGACAATTATCATCACCATTCAAGCCGCCAACGCCCATTTGAATCGTCTGAGATCCGATTTGACTAACCTAAGATCGGATCATCATAAGAAACTCCATAGTACTTTCTTGTCCTCGTTATCGCATTTCCTGTTTTGTTGCCATATTAGGCTCTGATATTCGCCTGGGCTTAACTGTTTCAGTCCCTTATGCGTGTGTGTCCTTGCAATACATTTTGACTATTCTCGTCTCACCTCTCCCCGCTCACACTCTGTACCCAGGGTCAAACCACCTCCGAAACAGAGTACGATAGAATCAATAGCGATGTAGGCAGTGATGTGGACTCTTCTTCCGGTGTAGAAGAAGAAGTAGCAGAACAATCCTTGCATCCGGTCAATCATGAGCCGGCCCCGGCTGTGAGTGATCCGCGTACTCCACTTGGAATCACAGTCATTGAACAAGGCGCAGTACCCACACCATCCCGTTCTCCAGTCATCGTCAGTACCGTTGCTGGCGGTCCAAATCGCAATGCACGCACAGGTGTTTTTTTCCGTGNTTTCCGTGATGCCTCAAACGTGTGGACTCGTGATCCAAACTCAGGAGCCCCCATCACACAGTCCCCAACGAATTGGTCTCATGGTTCTGAAGATACTCGAATCCCGGCTGATAGATCTCGATCGAACGCGGTTGAACTGACATCGAGCACTGTCGTGGGTCCTGCCGGCCGCAGTACGGCTGAAACTCCCGCTGAACCTGGTTTTGACGTTCATCTTAGCACGGGACTCAAATCGCATGCTCGAGCAGAACTATTGACTGAGAAATATTCCTACCCTCACCCGGTATGTTCTCTTCATTGTTTTTATCTTACCATTGATCATTGTCTGTGATAGTTGTACTGTACTGCAGTGTTCTAAGTTCGAACGATAATCTACGACAACGTTTTATCTTCACGTTCTCTATTTCAGTTTGGCGAGGATTTTCATTCTCGCTGTTTCTTTTCAACAAATCTTAGAGAAAAGATTCTTGGGTAACGATCGGTGGTCTTGCAAACAAGGCTAATCGTTAGCATACGCCTAACTTAAAATACTTTTGTCTTACAGAGGGCAACAAATTTTGTTGGGTTAATCGGCGACTTAGCTGTCTCGTTTCCCTTTTTAAAGTTCCAGACACTTTTCCGAGCGTCAAGGTCGTCTGTGTCCACTCACCTTGAGTGGCGAAAAGGTACACCATTGAAATGTTTGATATTCGGAAACTTCTGTTACCCATGATGATGGCGTGAGTAGCATCTTTCGTCACTAGTGAAACCCGGTTAATTTGTACCACTAATTGTTTTAAAACGATTTTGCACGTTTTCAGAATTCTTGTCCCAATAAACGATCAAAAAGATCTCTGTTCTTTCACGCATGCACCATGCCTCTGCGTCAGAACTGTAAACTGTGCCTTATTGTTCTCTTCTGACGTTCATCACTGTTCTAAATTATTGTATCAAATAAAGTGCCACTGGTAGTCATATCCTCGGATGTAGTCTTCATCCATATATACATTCCGTTATGTATTTGTAACTTTTGTGGCGTACTTGTTACACCTCACTCTTTCTCGCTCTTTTTGACGTGGCTTGCGTTGATTTTTACCCGCTCTTCGAATCAGGCACGTGAAGGCGCAACCAAAGCGTGGACCCGTCTACCCTCCGGGGCGAATGATACAGGTATGTTGAGCGGTCCCTCATGGTTCACTTCTTTATTCGTCTGTTGTTCGTCCCGGTACTTTTCGTGGCGTGACGGAATAGTAATCAGTTTGGAGGAAGATTTTGGGTGATTCTCTGTGACAGCAAACCACGTTATATCCTGTCATCGCTACTGCGCCTAGTTCAGGGGATTTCTACTCTATTGTTATGGGGTTTATAATTTTTTTTAATCATTCTCCGTTTTGGTCTCCGTACCCGCCTCTTCTACCATACACATATATATATATATACCAAGACCGGTAATGCATAAGGCTAAACTCATCCAGTCCCCTGACAACTGATCCACTGCAGCACCAGTTCCATCCCTAGTTACTCTCTGACGGCTCGTAACCAATGGAACCCGTTGAAGGTTTGTACTGTTGTCTCATAGTGAATGAAAAAAATAACAGTCTTAATTTTATACTAAGCTTATTGCTCTACCGGTTACAATTTGGCCTCAAAAAAGATGATCTTTTAGTGGCATAGCATATCATGGAACTCAGCGGATTAGGAAAATCTCAGAACCACTGAAACTTGCTCCGATATCGGGCATGAATGTATGTATGTCTGTTTGTGAGTACAACCAACAGATGGAACTCCACTGGGGAAGGTTTTACACCCTCTAATCACCCCCATCTCGTCCTCTTCGATTTCATCCTCTTTGATTCACAGTCACGTGCTATATTTGGGAAGGCGATAAACCGGCCAAATGCAATTTGACCATGTTGGATATCGGCTGGAATGTGATTCGAGTAAGTTCCAATCGGTCGCTCTACCTTTCCGCTTTTTCACATCACCACCGCCCGTCCTTACTTTTCTGTCCTATCATGTTTCTCTTTCTGTGTGTGTTTGTCACACACATACACACGTCCTTCTGCTTGAGATAACGTTGATTTGATGATGTGGTAGCTCGGTTATAGTCTTTCCGAGAGCTTGAAGTCCGACACGTTTGTAGGGGACTGCGAATTGTGTCTTTAAAGTGATCTTTTGTCTACCATAGTGTTTTGCATGTCTATTTATCCTTTGTGAGCCTAGGCTAAGGATTTTTGTGCCTTAGCTCATGCTTTTTAGCCTCGATATCAATTCGCCTAATGATGAGCACAAACACAACCCTGAACAACCTCGCTGTACTTTGTTCGTTCAAAAAGGTGTCTTGTGGAATACGATCAATCCGAACCAGACAAATGGACGAACGCCGCAAAGATCACAGAGCGGAACAAACGTCAATTGAAAACTGATTCGTATTTTCACACATGCATTTTTGTCCGGTCTAGGGGGATAATTCAAAGTGGAAATAATCAATGCAAGGTATCTTCAGTTCAATCTCTGAGATTTTTCCCGTGAAGCGTCTCCGGTGTAACGGTTGGCATGTGTAATTGGTTTAACTGAAATGTAGGCTTCAGTGCTTAGAAACGTTACACTATGGTATACAGTACAATACTTATCAGACTCTAGTTAAACTGTCTTCTGACGTTACAAATCTCAACCCAAGAACTCAATTACAATGAAACATTCTTTTCGTGCTAAGAAATTATACACCACGCTCCGATTTTTTTCATTACACACCTAAGTGCGATGAACAGCAGAGGGAGCGAATCCCATAGTCACGAGGACCTGTTATTAATTAATGGAAATCGGCAACCTAAGCCCCGGGACTTGGAGTGGCAAACCACATAAGGCCCCGATAGATTAAACGTGGTATTGAACCGGACAACAGCAGAGCTGCCTACCACTACCTGCAAGACTAACGCTCAACCTCCACTCTTAAACGCCGATGGAAACAGCCGATCTGGGCCGAAGACCTTATGCCTTTTGGGGATAACGTTTTTCCGGAGAAACCTCCATTTCAGAGGGCGGACTGGCATCAACTGGGAGTAGTTATTCAGTCGAGGTGGGTGGTGGCAGGTCAAGTTTCGATGATGGCCAGTTGAACTAAGCCTCTAAATATTTAGCCCATTATTCAAGGTGTTGCTAGGGCTGAATCAATGTGCTATCGGATTCCTTAATTACCTCACATCTATTTTCCCGGGGCCCTTTACATGATTTGAGCCCTATGCCATAGTTAGCAGCAGAAAGAAGGGCTCTGCAAGCGTACAGCAAAACGGCCGAGATAAACAAGATCCATCGTTTTTGCTTTGGGTCTGAGCCAGAATATGCCGTTGTTTGGATTGACATTTGGATGGCTTCCCCGATTACCGTTTAGTGTACATTAAGTCCTTCGGCTGGTGGTTTAACTGAAAAGCGATCGGAAAACTCCACTTCAAAGGCTGATTTGCAACGATCGCTGTCATTGTATTGAGGGTATCGGTTGCCGGTGGTTTTATTGTGGTTGTTCCTCAGGTTTAGGGAGAATTTGGCTCGTAGCAAAAAGTGGTCCCTATCCACATGTGTTGACCAGTGTGAGGGTCAGTCTTCAATTGACCCCCTCCAGCGGTAACTCATGGCGATTTGGGTCCATCTTCTTGAAAAGGGTTGTCGGTGTCAAAGTAAGACCATACCGTTTCTTGTACGGGAAGTTGGTGCTTGACAGGAATAATCCCTGAATCGCGCAAAGTTGAAGTAGGCAATCTGCGTCATCTGGCTGGTTGTCTGGGATTGAATATAGACCTCCAAGAAGTCTTCCTGATTCGTCCATGGATCTCACTTGAGCTTTGAAGTTTCCGGCGAGTTCTACGACGGTCCTCGACCGAACACTTAGGAGTAATGGAGAAAAGTCCGTGTAGAATTGTATCCTTCATTTTTGGCAAACCGCAATCAGTCGCTACGTACTCATACGACGAATAATCATCGACGCTTCGTTCTTTGATTCGAACTGCTACTACTGTCTTGAATTCGATCAGGCGAGTGATCAGCCTTGTCACTTAGCGCAATCCCAACACCGCGTGCGTCGAGTGTCGAATCATCTGACACACGAAGGGTGAGGTGTGAAGGTGATGTTTGGTCAGCAGAACACAGGAAGATGATTGAAGTAGGGTCTTATATGCTTTGTTTTCGGAGACACAACATTCGTCTAAATTGAATGTTTCAAGGGTTCTGGCTATGGCAGCTTGTAGACCGATATGGTTGAGTTTTCCGACTTTGAACGCGGCTAAGTGAAAAGGAAATACGTTATGATAAATCGGTAGCATAGATTAATTCATTATAGCGTATAAAGTGACATTCCTAATACCACACGATCTTTTTCCTCTAGTACGCACCTATTGTCCTTATATAACCGAGTACAGTTGATGATGGTAACGTGATCTGGTGATCGACCTGATTTGTTCATTTTATGATGCTTTCTACTTACGTGTGACTTTGTGTTACGGAGATATTCCTTGTCGTACAAAAACCTGCCACGTCTTCAGACACCATTGCTGTTCGGTCACTTTTTCTGTGCAACTCGTCCCCTCCTCCGCCCCATTTACCTAACCCGTCTGTTCCCTAATCCGCGACTTGAAGATATACCTGGTGGTGTATAGTCGTTGACTTGTAGTTCCATATGGCCATTGCCAACGGGATAATCGGAACCCCGAAACCGTTTTGAGTGAACTGGCGAATGTGCATCTATTCGCAATCGTTTAACTTACCTTTTACTCCGGTAAAAGTTGGTTTCTCCTCTATGATCTATTCTCCCGGTTTTGTTGCGTCACTTCAAAAACATTTTTTCAATGGTCAAATCTTTGACTAACTTCAATATTTAACTTGAGGAAACCAGATCCCGCTTCGATCGTACCACGTTGCTAGTATTTCACTATCTTTTAAACTCTATCGAACTGCTGCCTAATAAACATATTTATCCACCTAATAAACGCTGAATTGAAAGTAATAGAAGCTCGCCGGTTGAGATAATCGATTTTTTCGAGGCGTGAAGTTGATGTCAACCCCATTCGCATCTGTCCGTGGCCTTTGAAAGACAGACTGATAATTGACCTGAAGTGTGCTCAATTTCTAACCATTTTCCATACCCTAGTTAGTTGAAATTAGCACAAATGACCACTGGTCTTTGATATCCATCATTTTTTTCATATGATCAATAGTAGAAATGTAACTGTTTCATCGCCAAAATGAAATGATCGCCACTCGATCAGAACCTCGGTGCTGATAACTTTGCAGTCCTTTATCGTGTCGATTTTGGAAATAAATTCTAAGAGCGATTTTCGTATGATTTATCCATTTCTTATCACAATTGCCACCTCCACTTTGATTGATCCCGGAAGGCCGTGGAACGTCAAGGAGTTTCATCAGAATACATCTTGGTCGGTTGTGTATCCAGTATTCTCCTACCACTGCTGTCTGTACTGTATCACTGGAATCGATTCAATCCCGGTAATGTGTCCTCGACGGAATCGGGCTCAACGGAAAGCAACCTGACTGCTCCCAACTCGTTTCCCCCCTCCGTTTTGCCGCTCGCAGATCCTGTGGCAAATGAATCTGACCTGGCCGTTTGGCTTGGTGATATTCATCTGGCTGATAGTTTGATCGCGATGCAGTTGCAAGTACTGTTTCGTCTTGCCATGAAAGTATTGTATTTCTTCGGGCAACCATTCCGCTGGCTCCTGGTTCCCCTCGGTGTTCCGTACGTGCCGAGTGAACAAGTTTCACTGGGTACTGTTTTATGGAATGCTTTCACGGGTCAATGGATAAAACAGTGGCTCACATCACCTGATCTACCGTGAGTGTTTGCATGTCGCGAAACAAGTGTCACTTTATCTACAGTATTTCGTATCCATGGTTGTATATCATATGGCTAACTACTGCCGGTTGCATTTTCCACCCATTACTATTCCCGTTAAGCTGATAATGGTTACGTGGTACATGCGTCAGTTCCTCTTTTTGTTCTATTTGGCGCCACTCTGTTCAGAGCTCCACCGTTCTTGGCCCTCCCTAAATATTGGTCATGCATTTGTCGTGTGTCCGATAGTTTGTAATAAAACAAAAAAAGAATATAATGGTTAGTAAGCATTCTGCTTAATTTTTTTATGTGATGAATTTCGAGTACGGTTTTAGCTGAGTGAAGCAGTGAAGTGAGCTCGAGATTTCACAATCTGGTTGCACTATTGATCCTGGAAACGCCATCACCAATCTGGCTCAACACTGAGATGATCTTGTGGTGCTATGGACATGGAGCATACTACGTGAGGTAGAAAATGACAATCTTCTCGTTTCAGTCTGGTGACTACGCAGTATATTCACCGTCCGGGACCGGGTTGTCTGGCGTGCATCCGGCTTTACGGCTGAAAGCGCCAATCCTATCATGTTCAGTTCATTTCGGTGGCAGACAGTTTTGCTGCCACCGAGCTTGATGCGACGACTCATTTGGTACTCCACGTCAACTATTGACGTTTTTGTGGCAGTTCACCTTATTCAAATAATAAATCCTCGTTACTGTGGTGCGTAATACTCTCACTGGGTAATTAAGTAAAACTATCATGTTAGGATTCTCGAAATAAGGTGTTGTAATTGGGGAAATTGTGAAAGTGACGAGGTTGATTAGTGGTATTCGGATTCCAACACACGCTCTCGAAGTCCTTGCAATGATTACTAGTGAATGCTGCGTTAACTTCGTTATACTGGAAGAATGGATCGAACTTAGTCGTCTACATTGGAAAATGTTGCTCGATCGAGGGAGTGCAGTTAGGAGCTTTAATGTCCCCTCGGTTGAGGTCCCTAGACAGGCACGTATCGAGAGCTGAACAAAACGCGGATTTTATTTCGAAACTTTATTCATCCACACGAGACCAGTCTACACATACTTGGACCTTCCTCGTTGGGCCTCGTTCCGAAACGTGTTGCAACACCTCATTTAAAATGAGCTCTTCTATTCGCTTCACATGATGTCCTCTTTTCATGTGGAATTCCGTACTACGCTTCTTCGTCGTTACAATGATTGGTCATTAAACCAAAAAGATGCTTTTGTGTACGAAACGATGCGGTTGAACCGTCCAAAACACGCTAGTCATTGAAACACAATCAGGAACTGCTTCAACCAGCATAACACCCGAGAAGAAATTCGATTTGTAAAACATGGTCAACACCTGAAAACATCTGTTTCCTTGTTTACTTGGCGCCTACAATGTGCTCATTTCACGCTGCGGGTTCGTTTTTACAGACTAGCTATATCTCCAATTGAATTGATTATTTTTTCCCGATTAAGAAATTGTTTACACAGCTGTCATGGCGAGAGCAGTTTGTCCCTAATCGTTGTACCATCATTCAGTACATTTCAGTCACATGATGCTGATCACTCCCCGGCATTTCACGGTTGATTTTTTTCCGTTCCTGAACGAGTTCTAAATTGTATCGGTAGGGAACCGATTTTTCCCGATTTGTTTTCACCTAAACCACGTTTGTTTGGATTACTCTGGGTTATTTTTCACGTTGGAATGCGAGCTACATGTCTAAGGTGAACCTTCATGTCTTTCGAATGGACCCAGGGAAACCAACGAATCCACATCTACGTACCAACTGACTAATTTATGTGCACTTTCAGCTTTTTTATTCATCGTGTGAATTGTTGATAGCCTGGTTGCTTCCTTTCTTCATTCACTCAGTAAATCATCTCTTTTCGATTTGCCCCTGTTTCAGTGGTCGCATGGTGATTTTCTTGGGCGTTGTGCTTCGATTTAATGTGTTTAGCACGATTTTTCTGTTGCTGTGCATTGCGGAACGCACATTTCAACAGGTAAGTTCGATTCGATGCCGCCCTCGTTGACTAACTTGTTGTTGTGCCTGCTCATTACCGGTCGAAAACAAACGGTCTTTTGGTGTTCGAGCACACCGCGGACTAAGCCGAATTACACGAGTATCAATAGAGATGGCGTACCAACCCCGATTTCTGGTCTCGATAGATTGTGTTGGTCGTCGTGTATTCTACCGTAGACGTTTTGTCCATTGTAGCTAAGGTAGATAATGGCCGTAGACAGAGGTCAAGGGTGGTCCGATTATCACCCAGAATTGATTTATGACATTTTTAACTGGATCTTGTTAAATCGTTTGATTGTTTTGGAGTGCTTGATGTTTTTTCAGAGTGAATAATCATAACCAGCGATGCTTATACATTGTCCACCTAGTACACACATTCAGTTTATGCGCTCTCAGCTGTTGATATTTGCCCGCTCCGTGTTCGATCAGACAGATAGTCAGAAGACAGAAACACAAACCTGCGCACTGAGTTGTACGAACTGGATTCAGTGACTGTCCATCTCATTGAACTANTGCACTGCTTCCCCGCCATATCATTCTTACATGTCATCCGTGTTCGCGCGTCTCACCCGCAATCATCTAAGTAATACAGTTTTGGTTTGAACAAACCTGCACCATCTCGCGGTGGTTTTGATTGCTTCTTTTGTGGGCCAGGGCGGGGAGGGAGTTACTTATCTGGATGAAAGAGCATGGGGACAAATGTTTTTTTAATCTGCTAGCTGTATCAAATTAAAAATCCAATTAAACTCGGATTGTTCATAGATTGACTAGAAGCACGAGATGCAATGTCTGCAAAATTCAGTCATACCTTTCAGCGCCTTACGCCATCAACCTGTCCAAATCTCTTGGTCACTCTTGGTTTAGTTTCACTCGCTGTGTGCCTCGGCAAGTATTGCCCTTCGATGAGGCGTATCTGGTGCCAAGTCCGGGAAATAACGGTCGAATACGTGTTCGCGGCACGAAAAAGGGAGCTTTTCAGTGTCCTCACCACTGCTCTGTAAAAGCCCGGGAAAATGCTCCAGACAAATTCGTTCACCGTAGGGTTTAGAAACTTGCTACTACCATTTAACGGCTCAGGTCCAATATGTGCAAACAATTTGACCTGGTGTCCAGTCTTACCCTACGGTCTGTTGGGACTGACTCATCTTCCGCCCCTTTCCACCCTCAGTCACATGTTCACTCGCCTGTGATGACCTTTTGACCCTGCATAATGGGATTCACCCAAACCCAACTAAAATGTCTCTTTTCCCACTATATTGAAAGTACTGTATTCTGTCTGAGTCTGAGGCAACAAGTGTGTGCATTGGACAAAGCCTGGTTGACTGCTTTTGGCGAGAAAAGTAAATTCGGATAGAATCAACCTGATGATACGGTGCAGACCGTTTTGTATTGTATTGTATTATGTGTAACTTTTGCAAGCACTGGAGCTCACATTTCAGTTAAAAAATCATACACGCTAACCGTCGCAATGTACATAGCAAACTATAAAAAAATTTCCACAGACATGAGGGTATTTCATAACCCAAGGTTAAGACAAAGTTCACTTATTGTCCGCTCCTTGTTTATGAGTACACGAGCAAGATACGGTATAGTTGAATTTCAGTAAGCGTTAATTCGAGATGAAATTTGGTGGAATTGGGAGCGTGTTGAATGATGGGAACGACAACGTGTCAGTTCTGCGTGCAGGATCTGTGAGAATCCTCTCAGCAAATTTCACACATGAAGTTACATAATACTCTGAAAGCTTTAAAGCTAACTCATTCACAGGAATAGAAGAGACACGATTAATAATGGTTAAACCGCGGAGTAAGACTTCGAATCCTGTTTGAGTGAGCCAGGAAAAGTGACTGGGGAACAGTAGAGTAAGATGGGAAGTTTTTCTCCATAACTCCCTGAATCTGCATCCAGATGAAATAAAAATTCGTGTGCATGTGAGTTGAATGTGAGGAATCATTCTACCGGAATTGCTCATCATTCATTCTACAGAGTGTTTTGAAATTAGCCAAATAATCGTAGGTTAGAAACAACCCAGAAAAGTCGTTTGGTAAAAGTTCCTTAGTTGCGAAGCACCAAATAAACTGGTTTACTAGATATGTGTCTCTGGACGGATGCACATGACGGGAACAGGAAATAAATTCTGTCTGGCCATCATAACATGGAATGATCTGGTGCATTCATAACGGGTAGATGGAAAACGTAGAACTGAGAGGGTTCCGGTGAAATTTGTCTATTTATGGGGAACAAACGGAATGCACAGGAAACTGAAAATGTTTTAAATCAGCACTATTCGGGGAGAGAAAATCGCTCCGGTGGTCACTGGCGAAGGACCGAATAAGCAACTCGTATGCTGATGCGTCGCCCACCTGAGGCGCGGCTTTCGATGGAGGTCGGTGATCCGGACATTCTTTACCAGCGGTCACGCACTCAAACCGCAGTTCTTCGTCACTCGTCCTTGTGTGTGTGTGTGTGTGTGTGCGTGCATTTCTGAATCGGGAGGGATGACTAAGTTACACAGATATTGCACTGTCCTTCATTGTAGCCTCTCACTTGTCACAGATGGCTGAACACGCGAAGGACGATCATACGCTCCACTTTCTTCATTATTCGCTTGGAAAGGTAGCGATTGGTCCATTATTTTCCATATCCGAGAGGTTGATGTTCCGGCTTTTCACGTATCGATAATCTGATAACTAAATCTCAACTCTTTCACGTTCGTTCCGAACGTGCCGATGGGGAAACGCCTATTTCTCCCCGTTGAGGGTCGTGCATTATTTTCTTAAGTTTTATTTCGATCCTCATTCTCAAAATTTACAACTTTGCCGGCATTTGACCTCATTATCGTCCCTACTATGCGTGAATTCGTCCCCTTGATCACGTGTTCAAGGGAAAATCGGGAATTGGCGTGATGTGTACTCTAACTCGCCACGCTGGCGACCAAATGGTGGTGGGAAAAGTTGAATGTGTGGGGTGTGAAACCACGTGGCATAGTATACTGTCCCCTCATCACGGTTGAATCCCTCTAATAGGTGAAGCGCGTTTCTAAAGCGTTCATAGGGTGCATTTCCTTTGCCGGACACAAACTGACTGGATACTCGGGATTAGTTGGAAACGAGGGACGAGTGGGTGTTTTTCTTTCGCTTTACTAATAAAAAGGGGTGAAACTAGGAAAGTACATTAGAAGAAAAAAGACCTTTTCTTTCGAATTGTCCTCGTTAGCTTCATATGTCATATGACGGTCACATGTGCATTTATATGTGTTCACTCACTGTTCCGTGCTGAATCTTTACAGTGTAAAAAGATTTTGCACTGTCCACGCCTTAGCTAAATTACCGTGACTCACCGGATAACACTGGATTGACGGATGGCATCTGTCCATACGCCTATGGTAGTTATCGGAGGTGAAGTTGACCGCCTCCGAAAACGTTTCCACAAATGTGAACGCAACGATCACAGGAAAATTCGTTAATAGGCCAGAGTGCAGCTTGTCGACCAGTCCATCTATTCCATCTGTCTGTATATTTGATGTGAATGGCGTTTGCGCATTCGTAGATTTTGAATGAAGTCTTTTGTCCGGACAGTTATATCCCATCTGTGGATAATTGTTTGTAACTCTCTTGATTGTATGCATTAGATGGTAAACCAAGCGGATGAAAAAGCAAATGACACTTGTAAGAATATACTTGTTAGTTTCGGTTTTGCTTTCCTAGTCGACACAACCTGGCACTGTTGACGCACACATTGCAAAGTCACTCCCTCTCCAATTTGATCTACTGTCCACACTCATCGATTGTCGGGTCATGGTTCACGAATAGGATTACCTGGGTAAATCAAACTAAACCGATGTATTCACTGACGTCACCTACCCGATATTCCGTCATTTAGTCGATGCCCGGATCGCGGCGGCCTGGTTGTCGTTCCGCGTGCGCGCGCGCCCTCTCTCTGAGAGAGAGGCTCAGCTACGTGAACGAGTATTTTGTTTTTCAAGGGTGAAATCGTCGTGTATATGGTAAATGAAGCGTAAACTGAAAATCTAGGAAGCACTACTGGACAGCTGTTTTGATCTGATTGGTTCGCATCAGCAGTGCGAATCCATCGACCCAACTGGGAATCGAACCCGGTGACCGAGTGGGTACCATACTTATGTTCTGCCCACTCGGTCGATGGATTTGCACTGCTGATGAGACCCAACCAGGTAGAAACAGCTGTCCAGTAGTGCTTCCTAGATTTTCAGTTCA